CATGTACCTGGGTTGTGGGCACATCCCCAGTAGGAGATGTGCAGGAGGCAGCTGATCGATGTTTCTCTCTCATTGATGTTTCTAACTCTCTATCTCTCTCCCTTCCTCTCTGTAAAAAATCAATAAAATATATTTTTTTAAAAAAAAGTCAATTCCTGCAAGAGAGAACACATAGTCCTTAAGTCAGCAACCATTAATATAGTCTTGGCCCCCAAATTTTTGACATTTATTCTATTTATTAAAAAAATATTATAGCCCAACTGATGTGGCTCAATGGTTGAGCGTCGACCTATGAACCAGGAGGCCATGGTTCGATTCCTGGTCAGGGTGCATGCCTGGGTTGCAGGCTTGATCCCCAGTGGGGGGGCATGCGGTCAGGGTGCATGCCTGGGTTGCGGGCTTGATCCCCAGTCGGGGGGCATGCAGGAGGCATCCAGTCAATGATTTTTTTCTCATCATTGATGTTTCTATCTCTCCCTCTCCCTTTCTCTCTGAAATAAAAAAATATATTTTTAATAGAAAAAAACGGGCAATACAGAAGATGTAAGGAAAATAATAATTCCCCCTGATAATTTTGCCATTCAGTAATGAACAGTGCTTATGCTTCCATATAAACCTGTGTTTCTAATACAGTTCTCACTTGTGGTTATTTATTTATTTATTTATAATATATTTTATTGATTTTTTACAGAGAGGAAGGGAGAGAGATAGAGAGTTAGAAACATCGATGAGAGAGAAACATCAATCAGCTGCCTCCTGTACACTCCCCACTGGGGATGTGCCTGCAACCAAGGTACATGCCCTTGACCGGAATCGAACCTGGGACCCTTCAGTCCGCAGGCCGATGCTCTATCCACTGAGCCAAACCGGTTAGGGCCACTTATGGTTCTTTAATTTAAATGAAATAAAATTAAAAACATTACTGTCATTTCTACATCACATCTTTCTTATTACTTTTTTATTTATCATTACTGTATTGTCCTTATTAGCCAGTTATGCAAAATGTCATTCCCCTTAGCAACACAACAGTGTATGATATTAACTTTGAGTAAAGGAAATTGTGGGCAGGATGTGGCATGGGGTGAGTCGTGGTGGTTTCCTTTATAGTTGTGTGAGCTTCAGGAAGCATTTTAACTTTTCTTCAGTTGAGCTTCTGCATCATCAAGTGGGGATCATAGGAGGCTATTTGTGGTGATTATAAATCAATACAGGTACAGAGCACAGTAAGGATCAATAGACACTAACTCTCCCAGTCCTTGACCGTTAGCAGGTTTTAAGTATAATCTCTAGCACAGCAGAAACATCTCTGTACAAGTTGTTGTTGTTTTTAATCTTTTTTGAAATCTATACCCCAAGGTGATACAACCAGCCATAGACACAATCATCTTTTTAAAATCCTCACCAGAGCCCTAACCAGTTTGGCTCAGTGGATAGAGCGTCAGCCTGAGGACTCAAGGGTCCCAGGTTTGATTCAAGTCAAGGGCATGTACCTTGGTTGTGGGCACATCCCCAGTAGGGAGTGTGCAGGAGGCAGCTGATCGATGTTTCTCTCTGATCGATGTTTCTAACTCTCTATCCCTCTCCCTTCCTCTCTGTAAAAAAATCAATAAAATATATTTTTTTAAAAATAATAAATAAATAAAATCCTCACCAGAGGATTTTTTCCAATTGATTTTTAGAGAGGGTGGAAGGCAGGAGGGGACAGAGAGGGAAACATTGATGTGAGAGAGACACATTGATTGCTTGCCTCCGCACGCAACCCTGGCGGGGCCGAGGATATGGAAGGCAGGAGGGGACAGAGAGGGAAACATTGATGTAGAGAGACACATTGATTGTTTGCCTCCTGCATGCAACCCTGACCGGGGCTGAGGATGTAACCTGCAACCCAGGTAGGTGCCCTTGATTGGGAATCGAACCCAAGACCCTCCGGTGCGCAGGCCAACGCTTTAACCACTGAGCCATGCCGGCCAGGGCCACAGTAATTTTTATAAGTCTTCTCATGAATTGCCAGATAATTCTCACAAAGATTGCATCAGTCTGAAGATCCTCCAGCTAAGCTTGGCAGCTTCCCTGAGACCCTCCCAGTCCTGTCCTCAAGGACTGAAATCCCATTTGCTGGCTTAAATCCTGAGGGAATAGTTAGTGCAGAAGAGAATTCAAGAGCTGGAGCAGGTGGGTATGTGCAAATGTGGGGCATAGAGGGCATTCCAGATTTATTGTCCCCTGAGAAATCTGCAGCTGAAGAGGGTTCAGGTAAGAAGATCACTTGGAAGCATCACCCCAAGAAACCTTCTGCACTGGACATTCATGCCATCTCCTGCTGGCAATTTTGGCCTCCCTGTAAGTCAGGGACCTTTGCAGTCCAGCAGCCTAAGACCTCCAGAGGCAAACCTGCAGTTCCACTAAGTCCAGTTTCTGACCCACTGCAATGGGATCAGGCAAAGACAGAGTTCTTTCCCCCAAAGGAAAAAACAGAGTTCCTATGGGGCTTGCCGGAAGGGGAGGTGTAGGTGAAACTTACTGTTAGGGTGCACTACCTTTAACCTCTCCTGCTTGGACATGTTTTCTGAAATATATATTATTATAAACCTTTTTCTATAGCTTGGGGCAGATGGCCTGCGCCTGCAGAAGCAAGATAAAATGAATTCCCCTTTGCCTGACTGACCCGTGCACCCCTTAAATCCCCTGACTGACTTGTACCCTCCCCTCCGCTTGACCAACTTGAGCACCCACATCCTGACCCTATATTGCATTCTGTATATATCAGAACCTACCCCCTCGGGGCTGACACTGACACAATGGTCTCAGCTCATGGTGAGAGAATGAAATAAAATATCTTAAACTCTCACAGAGTCTCTTGGCCTGTCTCCTTAACGTGCAGACCTAATAATTATATGAAGCAGCGTTCCCACAGGCTCTGAGCAAGGCAGGGCTGTGTGCCAAGAGGGCCCCTGACCCTGTTTCCTTGGCAACCACCCTGTTAAGCAGATGTGGGAAGCTCTGTCCAGAAACCCCTTATCTAACGCTCACACTGGGGTGGATTGGGGAGGCTGTGTGTCTGTGAGTGATTCAGATCTTCTGCCAGAGAGGGGTGTGGCCTTCATTCCTGATTTAATTTAAAGGGCCTGTGATTTAGGGAACAAGGTTTCTCAGCGGGTGAGGAAGCGGTGGTCTCCCAGAGGAGGAGTCATTGTGACCCTTCAAGGCCACAGCATGCCCTGAAGAAAGTTGTCTCCTGCTCACTTCACTGGCCGTGCCTGTCAGCCCAGCCCGAGGACTGCACACTTTCTCGGTACAGTACACCTTTCATAAAAACGGTCTAATTCAGGCAGGAGCCTCTGTTAAAGCTAAAAGTCCGTTATGTAATAAAGTAGGTTTTCTGAATGGATACGCTTTAAAAATTGACAAATTAGTTTACTTGTTTTTACTTATGCAGACATGTTTGTGTAATTAAAATTAAGTATGCATGAAGCTTAATTTCACAGAAAAGTTTTCTATATGTACTACAGTAATTTTAAATTTCTACTGAATAGGTCTAGTAAATGCATGCATCCACCAGTCACTGGGGGTAAACAGATGCACACGGCTGGGCCATGGCTAAGCCCACGTAGAAACATATCTTCTCCTTGACTGGTTTGGCTCAGTGGATAGAACGTCGGCCTTCGGACTGAAGGGTCCCAGGTTCGATTCCGGTCAAGGGCATGTACCTTGGTTGCGGGCACATCCCTAGTAGGGGGTGTGCAGGAGGCAGCTGATCAGTGTTTCTCTCTGATCGATGTTTCTAACTCTCTATCCCTCTCCCTTCCTCTCTGTAAAAAATCAATAAAATATATTTAAAAAATAAAAAGAAACATATCATCTGGCAGGAGTTAAAAATGCTGCAGAAAATCACACCACGGGATTTTCGGCAAAACCAATTACAGAGCCCTAGCTGGCTTGCCTCAGTGGAAAGAGCGTTGGCCTGCAGACTGAAAGGTCCTGAGTTTGATTCTGGTCCCCTAGCTGGCTTGGCTCAGTGGAAAGAGCGTTGGCCTGCAGACTGAAAGGTCCTGAGTTTGATTCCTGTCAAGGGCACATGCCCGGGTTGCAGGCTCAATCCCCAGTAGGGGGGTGTGCAGGAGGCAGCCAATCAATGATTCTCATTATTGATGTTTCTATCTATCTCTCCCTTCCTCTCTGAACTAAATAAAAACATATTAAAAAAAAAACAATTACAGAGCATGATACGGTGTGATCACCTGCTAATTATTCACTGAACATTGTTTACAAGCAGTGACTCTTGGATTTAAATATGTAGACTATAGTTGCAGATATGTAATATTTATTTATGTCGGTGAAATTACTAGTTTTTTTCCAACATACGGCCTATTCAATAAAATTTGTTTAAAATAACAGTGAATTAATAACAACAAGAAAACAACCTGTTAATTGTAAGCAAATCTTGGTTAAAAGCATTTTTCAATTAATAGGGTGTTAATTTTCACATGTGACACATGGATCGGAAATTTTGTCTGTTAAATCTAGGTCCACAAAGTCCAGGGTTTACTGTATAAACTTTTACCTTCTTAGCTGGTATTTTCAGAGCCACCCTGGGACTCAAAAGGAGTCGGCCCACTGGGCAGGCATTGGTGGCTGCCTTTCAAGTGTGTGTTCGGTTTCCCTTAATGGCCTCACGGGGCACCCAGGGCACTCTGGCCTGGGGGCACCTGGGGGCGCTGGGCAGGTAAGGGACGCAGCCCCCAGAAATCCCAAAAGCGGGGGGAGGGAGGAGGGAGTAGGGAGGAGGAAGGAGCGCATTCTCCCCGTGTCTGCCCTGGGGGGATAGAGGCAAACAGGACCGCAGCTGATTCCAGCTCGTCCAGTCGTTTCCCACTTCTGCTGGGCTTGGCCAACTTGGGGTGAGACCCAGCTTTTGAGGGTGGTTCTCATTTAGGAAACCGGAAGCCGCCCCCAAATGCCAAGGATTAAAGCCACACCCGGAGACCCCACTTCTCAGGGAGCGTTCGCATCTCTTGGCCGCTCTCCCCCTTTTCTCCTCTTCCTCAGCCGGCGCTATGGCGAAGCCGCTGACGGACAGCGAGAAGCGAAAGCAGATCAGCGTGCGCGGGATCGCGGGGCTGGGCGACGTGGCCGAGGTGCGGAAGAGCTTCAACCGGCACCTGCACTTCACGCTGGTCAAGGACCGCAACGTGGCCACGCCCCGCGACTACTACTTCGCCCTGGCGCACACGGTGCGCGACCACCTGGTGGGGCGCTGGATCCGCACGCAGCAGCACTACTACGAGCGCGAC